CTCAGGTGATCCACCTGCCTCGGCCTCCCAAAGTGCTGGGATTACAGGTGTGAGTCACTGCGCCGGGCCCTGAAAAGGTTTAACACACATTTTCGAAATAAACTTCATAGAAACAGTCGCTGTTAGGTTCAAGTCTGGGACTGCGAACAGGGCAGGGGGAGAGTTGCCCCCATCAGACCTCATACCACCAAGTCTCATATTCAGGTTTTACAGACACAACCCCAAAGCACTGAAACACTTCTCTCTGCAGCACTTTATTCTGCTGACCTCATTACCACATTCTGTGTAAAACACCAGCAAACGGAAGGAGCACCATTATTTTATAAAGCGATTGAGAAAGAAAAACGCTGGCACACCACAGACACATCTTTAGAGATGTTAACATGGGAAAAACTTGTGTGTCCAAGAATTGGTAAACTGAATTAACTTTTTAATTGTTTCAACCTAATCTGACTTATCCATAAGGCTTTTTATTTTAAAAACATCTACACGTCACTGAACCCTGCACTACAAACACAGCACTAGGCATAATGTCTAGTCCTTATAACCTAGAAAAGAAGTTGTGATTACCCCCATTCCAGAGAAGAGGGAACAGCCCAGAAAGATTACGTGACTTAGCCTGGGACACAGTTAGTAAGTGGCAGAGCTGGGATTCATATCAGCTGTTTATGGCTCTAATAAACAAGAATGTTTTCTCTTGTACAACCTGCCTCTCCCAGAACCTTCTCAAAACGTAAAACTTACCTATCACAGAGAAAGGACAGACATTGTTTTTCGATAATAAGATAAATGAGTTACAAGTGGAGAAGAGATTTCTTTTTAAGAGAATTGTGGCCGGGCGCTATGACTCACGCCTGTAATCCCAGCATTTTGGGAGGCCAAGGCGGGCGGAACACCTGAGGTCAGGAGTTCGAGACCAGCCTGGCCAACATGGTGAAACCCTGTCTCTACTAAAAATACAAAAATTAGCTGGGCGTGGTGGTGTGCGCCTATAGTCCCAGCTACCCCGGAGGCTGAGGCAGGAGAATCACTGGAACCCGGGAGGCAGAGGCTGCAGTGAGCCGAGATCGTGCCACTGTACTCCAGCCTGGGTGGCAGAGCAAGACTCCATCTCAAAAAAAAAAAAAAAAAAGAGAGAGATTTGTAAAAATGATGATTTGGAGGTGACCCAAGGGCTACAACTCCAAATGTTCCTGTTTGAATTTTTCATTTCATAGATTCCATGAGCCCTTTCTTTCCTTTCATGTGGTGCCTATTTGGCACTCATATGCAAACTCCAATCCATAGATTTCCTGGGTATCCTTGAGCTCACCACAGCCTTGTTCCTTTTCAGTGTGCCAAGCAGAGGAGAGGCGGAGAATGAAACCGTTCATAACCATGACCACCAGGTGGTGCCAGCACACAGCTGGACCCTGCTGGCGGCTGGTGGGCTCACCGGATGTTGCACAGTGAATTTAAAAATTACCGTCTTCTTACTGTTTTCACCTGTCCAATTATTCGTTTTTGAAGATATCTCCATATACATGAACATATAACACAAAAGTATTAAAAATTATTTTAAGATCAGATATCCAGGAAGCCAATGCATCTTAATGATAGAGTTTCTGGAAACAGCTTTGTCTAAAGTGTGACTTTTAGTATTATAAATGAAATAGAATTATTACCAGAGTGAAAATAAATAATCACAATTAAAAAATACATAAACTCTGTAATTAAAAAAAAAAGGCTAAATAGAAGTACACCAAAAATGTAAACAACAGTTATGTTTGAGTGGTGAAACTATGAGTAATTTTGTTTTTATTGTCTCTTCCATATTTTCCAACTTTACTTTCACCATGATCTACTACTTAAAAAAATGTACTATGAATAACACAAACTTTCTAAGAAAGAAATACAAACTGTATCATAATTGTATCACAAAGCATTTAGACAACTAACCACACCTCCTAACCCTGTCACTATGGTCATTTTGGCATATCTCCTTTCATTAAGACTTTCTGTGCATCAGTTTTGTGTGTGTGTGTGTGTGTGTGTGTGTGTGTGTGTGTGTGTGTTTGAGACAGGGTCTCGCTCTGTTGCCCAGGCTGGAGTGCAGTGGTGCAATCTTGGTTCACTGCAGCCTCTGTCTCCCAGGTTCAAGCAATCCTCCCACCTCAGCCTCCCAAGTAGCAGGGACTACAGGTGTGCACTGCCACGCCGTGCTAATTTTTTGTTGAGACGCAATTTTACCATGTTGCCCAGGCTGTTCTCGAACTCCTGGGCTCAAGCAATCCACCCACCTTGGTCTCCTAAAATGCTGGGATTACAGGTGTAAGCCACTGTGCCGGGCCTCTGCATTAGTTTTATTTAATTTTATTTTGAGATGGAGTCTCGCTCTGTCACCCAGGCTGGAATGCAAGTGGTGTGATCTCGGTTCACTGCAACCTCTGCCTCCTGGGTTCAAATGATTCTCCTGCTTCAGCCTCCCAAGTAGCTGGGATTACAGGCACCCACCACCATGCCCAGCTAATGTTTTTTGTATTTTTAGTAGAGATGGGGTTTCACCATGTTGGCCTGGCTGGTTTCGAACTCTTGACATCAAGCGATGTCCCCCTTCCGACACCCCGCCTTGGCCTCCCAAAGTACTGGGATTACAGGTGTGAGCCACCACGCCCAGACTCTGCAACAGTTTTAAATTTACATTTATTTACATCATTTATAGCCATCTTAAAAACTGGTGATAGCATTAGGAAATCCTGATTGCTTATGTGCTGTAGTTTGGCCTGGGGAGAAACCAGCAAACAGCACTCAATGGGTAACAGAATTAAGCATTAGGTTGGTGCAAAAGCAATTGTGGTTTTGGCCATACTTTTAATGGCAAAACCACAACTACTTTTGCACCAACCTAATACAAAGTAGGGAAATTTTTATTTGAAAATCTATGTAAAGTTGTCGAAATGCTGTGAGTTCTTACCGT